TTGATGTAGTGTTCCATGATTCTTAGAGCGTTTTAGATTCATAGCAAAATTGAGGGGAAGGAAGAGATTTATCTCATACCCTGCCCCCCACCAGCACATATACACAGGCTCTTCTGTTATCAATACTCAGCAACGGCGTGGAACATGGTAGATGAACCTACCCTGACATGTCATTATGACCTGGAGGCCATGGTTTACCTTAAGGCTTACTTTTGGTGTTGTATATTCTGTAGGTTTGGACAAACGTACGAATGATGTGTATCCACCATTATCATATCATACAGAGTAGTTTCACTGCCCTAAAAATCCCCCCAAATCCTCTGTGCTCCACCTGTTTATCCCTACCCACCCTGCAACCTGCGGCAGCACTGATCTTTCTACTGTCTCCATAGTTTTGCCTTTTCCAGAATGTCATATAATTGGAATCATGTAGCACGTAGCATATAGTCTTTTCAGATTGGCTTCCTTCCCTTAGTAATATGCACTTACGGTTCCTCCATGTCTTTTCATGGATTCATAGCTCATTCCTTTTTGTTGATGGGTAATATTCCACGTGTGAATGTACCAGTTTATCCATTTACCTACTGAAGGACTTCTTGGTTACTTCCAAATTTTGGCAATTATGAATAAGGCTGCTATACACATCCACATGCAGGTTTTTGTGTGGACTTATGTTTTCAACTCATTTGGGTAAATACCAAGGAACACAGTTGCTGGATTTTAAGAATATATTTAGTTTTGTAAGAAACCATCAGACTGTGTTCCAAAATGGCTGCACCATTTTGCATTCTGACCGGCAATGAATGAGAGTTCCTTTTGCTCTACATCTTCATCAACATTTGGTGTTGTCCGTGTCTTAGATTTTTGGCCATTCTAAGAGGTGTCTAGTGGTATTTCATTGTTTCAATTTGCAATTCCCTAATGGACATATAATGTTGAGCATCTTTTCATATGCTTATTTTCTATTTGCTTATCTTTTGTGGTAAGGTGTCTAAGGCTTTTGGCCATTTTAAAAATTGGGTTCATTTTCTTCTTTTTTTTTTTTTTTTCATTTTTTCAAGGTTTTTTTTTTTTATGTTATGTTAATCACCATACATTACATCATTAGTTTTTGGTGTAGTATTCCATGATTCATTGTTTGCGTGTAACACCCAGTGCTCCATGCAGTACGTACCCTCTTTAATACCCATCACCAGGCTAACCCATCCCCACAGCCCCCTCCCCTCTAGAACCCTCAGTTTGTTTCTCAGAGTCCATAGTCTCTCATGGTTCATCTCCCAAAAATTGGGTTCATTTTCTTATTGTTGATTTTAAGAGTTCTTTGTATATTTTGGATAACAGTCCTTATCAGATGTATATTTTACAAATATTTTCTCCCAGTCTGAGGCTTGTTTTCTATTCTCTTGACAGTGTCTTTCACAGAGCAGAAGTTTGTTTTAATAAAGTCCAACTTAACAGTTATTTGTTCATCAATTATGCCTTTATTGTTGTATCTAAAAAGTCATCACCACACCCAAAGTCACCTACATTTTCTCTTATGTTCTCCTCTAGGAGTTTTATACTTTCGTGTTTTATATTCAGGTCTATGGTCTATTTTGAGTTAACTGCTGTGGAAGGGTGCAATGTCTGTGTCTAGATTAATTTTTACATGTGGATGTCCAATTGTTTCAGCACCATTTGGGGAAAATACAATCTTTGCTCCATTGTATTACAATATATTATGTAAGATTGTATTGTGAAACATCAGTTGACTAATTTATGTGGGTCTGTTTCTGGACTCTATTCTGTTACATGGAACCATTTGTCTTCATTTTTTCGCCATTACCACAATGTCTTGGTTACTGTAGCATTACGGTAAGTCTGGAAGTCAAGTAGTGTCATACCTCTGGCTTTGTTCTTCTTCTTTTGCTTCTCCATATGAACATTAGAATAAGTTTTAGGATATGTACAAAATGCTGGGATTTTGATTGTGATTACTTTGAATCTATGAATCAAGTTGGGAAGAACTGACCTTTTCACAATATTGAATCTTCCTATCCATGAACCTGGAATATCTTTCCATTTAGTTTTTTAATTTCTTTCATCAGAGTTTTATAGTTTTCCTCATATAGCTCTTGTACATATTTTGCTATATTTAGACCTAAATATTTTATTCTTTTGGGTGCTAATGTAAATGCTGTTCTCTTTTTAATTTTAAATTTTCTTGTTCATTGCTGGTATACAGGGAAGTAATTGACTTTTGTATATTATCCTTGTATCCTGAAACCTTGCCATAATCACTTATTAATTCTAGAAGTTTTTTTGTTGTTGTTGATTCTTTGGGATTTTCTACATAGACAGTCATATCATCTGTGAACAAAGGTTTATTTCTTCCTTCTCAGTCAGTATACCTTTTATTTCCTTCTCTTACTGCATTAGCCAGGATTTCTAGTACAGTATTGTGAAGGAGTGGTGAGGGGGGACATTCTTGCTTTTTTCCTCATCTTAGTGGGACAGCTTCCAAGTTTGTCACCAGTAATTATGATGTTAGTTGTAGGTATTTTCAAGTTGAGCAAGTGCCTTTCTATTCCTAATTTGCTGAAAGTTTTTATCATGAATGGGTGTTGGAGTTTGTTAAGGGCTTTTCTGCATCTGTAGATGTGATCATGTGATTTTTCTCTAACCTGTTGATACTATAGATTACTACCTATTTTCTTTTTTTTTTTTTTTTTACTTTGTTAATGTTTTATTTGGAATTTTTGTATCTAAATTCATAAGTGATATTGGGCTATAATTTCTATTTTGTGCTTGCTTGTGCCTTTTCTAATCTTTGACAATGTATACAATATCCTCCCTTAATATTGGCCTATTCAAATTCCTCATCTGGACTGTTCTGATAATTTTGTTTTTCTTTTTTTTTAATAATTTTTTTTAAAAGATTTTATCTATTTGAGAGAGAGAGCACGAGCAAGGGTGTGGGGTGGGGTGGGGAGGAGCAGAGGGAGATGGAGAAGCAGGCAGGAGGGAGGAGCATGGTTGCCATAATCACTTATTAATTCTAGGACCCTGGGATCATGACCTGAGCTGAAGGCAGATGCTTAACCAACTGAGCCAGATTTTTGCATTTGTGTTCATGAGAGATCTTGATCTATAGTTTTTTGTAATGACTGTCTGGTTTTGGCATTAGACTAATGCTGGCTTCATAGAATAAGTTAGGAAATATTCCCTCTTCTTTTATTTTCTGGAAGAGATTGTAGGGAATTGGTGTCATTTCTTCCTTAATTGTTTGGTAGAATTCATCACTGAACCCATTAGCGAAAGCTTTATGGTTTTTCTGTTTTGGAAGGTTATTGGTTATTGATTCATTTCTTCAATAGATACAGGCCTATTCAAATAGTCTATTTCTTCTTGTGTGAGTTTTGGCTGATTGTGTTTTTCAAAATATTGGTTTATTTCATCTAGGTTATCAAATTTGTGAACATAGAGCTGTTTATGATATTCCTTTTATTATCCCTTTATGTCCATGGGGTCTGTAGGGATGTTCTGTTTTTCATTTCTGATATTGGTAGTTTGTATCTCCTCTCTTTTTAACTTAGTCAGCCTGGTTAATAGATTATCATTTATTGATCTTTTCAAAGAACCATATTTTGGTTTTGTTGATTTTTCTCTTTTGATTCCTCTTTTCAATTTCATTGATATCTGCTCTAATTTTTATTTATTATTTCTTTCTTCTGTTTACCTTGGGTTTACTTTGCTCTTCTTTTTCTAGTTTCCTAAGATGGGAACTTAGATGATTGATTTTAGATCTTTCTTCTTTCCTAATATATGCATTCAATGCTATAAATTTCTCCCTAAGCAGTGCTTTCACTGCATCCCACAGATTTTGAGAAGTTGTATTTTCATTTTTATTTAGTTCAAGATGTTCTTCAGTTTCTCTTGAGATTTCTTCTTTGACCTGTGAGTTATTTAGAAGTGTGTTAATCTTTAAGTATTTCAGGATTTTCCAGCCATCTTTCTGTATTGATTTGTATTTTAATTCCATTGTGGTCTGAGAGCAATATATGATTTCTATTCTTTTAAATTTGTCAAGGTATGTTTTATGGCCCAGATTGTGGTCTGTCTTGCTTAGAATATTCCATGTGAGCTTGAGAAAAATATGTATTTTGCTGTATTTGGTTGAGCAATTGATAGATGTCAGTTGTATCCAGTTGATCAATGGTGCTGTTGTGTTCAACTATGTCCTTATTGATTTTCTGTCTTTAGAACTTGTCCATTTCTGATAGAGAGATGCTTAAGTCTTCAACTCTTATATTTATCTATTTCTTCTTGCATTTCTATCAGCGTTGCTTCATGGAGTTTGATGATTTGTTATCAGGCACATACACATTAAAGCTTATTATGTCTTCTTGGAAGATTGACCACTTATTATATGTAATGTTCTTCTTTATCTCTGGTAATGTTCTTTTCTCTGAAGTTGGCTCTGAGATTAATATAGCTACTCCCTTTCTTTTGATTAGTGTTGGCATGGTATATCTTCTATCCCTTTATTTTTACTCTATGTGTGTCTTTATATTTAAAGTGGGTTTCCTATGGACAACATGTAGTTGGGTCTTGTTTTTTGATTTACTCTGAGAGTCTCTGTTTTTTAATGGTATATTTAGACCATTGATGTTTAAAGTGATAATTGATATAGGTTAATATTTACCATAATTGTTACTGTTTTCTACTTGTTCCTTTGGTTTTTTGTTCCTATTTTTGTCTTCACTCTCTGCCTTTTATAGTTTTTTATTTTGTGTTGTTTTGTTTTTTAGTATAGTTGACACACAGTGTTAGTTTCAGGTGTACAACTTAGTGATTTGACAAGTTTATGCATTATGCTATATTCACCACAAGTATAGCTTTTATAGTTTTAATTGACCATTTTATATGATTCCATTTTGTCTTCTTGCTTAGCATATCAATTATACTTTTTCTAAAAAGTTGTTTTAGTGGTTGCCCTAGAGTTTGCCCATATACGTTCAAAAACTGTGGAATGTTTCACGAATTTGCATGTCATCTTTGTGCAAGGGCCATACTAACTCTGTGTTGTTCTGAGTGTAGTACATGTGCTGATGAACTGAGCACTTAATGTGCTTTAGTTTTATCCCAAGGGACTTCTTAGCCGTTCTTCCCCTTTAGTTGGGTATAATCAGTGTCAGCAGCAGACATCGACCTGAGGCAAACATGAACACGTGTCCCTGAGTGCTGAGTGTTAGCCCGAGAGTCCGCGCTCTTTTGAGAGTGGAAAATCCTCACAGTTTTTTCACTAACTGGTGTCTTCTGTACCCTTGCTCCAATGTCAGGTTCAAGCCCATGTGCCAGTGCCCCAGGCCCCCGTGGTTTTATGACTGCATGCTTTAAGGACTTTTTAAGGACTCAGACATCACTTCTCCTTCATCTTCAAAGCTGTCATTTTCTTTCTAGAGATGAAAAATACAAACAAGCCACCTCTGTTGTAGAAGGCAGCATGATCACAGTTCTTAGGCTAATCTAGTAACTCTCTTATTCCTTTTTATTTTTTTAAACAGATGTGATGTTTACTGGTACGGCAGATGGCCGGATCGTAAAACTTGAAAATGGTGAAATAGAGACCATCGCCCAGTTTGGTTCAGGCCCGTGCAGTAAGTCAGTGACAGCACCCCCGATATATGTCTGTGGTTATTGAGAAAGGTGCTGAATGGCTGTGTGGAGCTTAATTTTCCTAGAAGTCAGGTTCATCCTTGCAGAAGAAGAGCCCCAACCACCTGGCAGACAGAGCCTGACCTGAGTGCTGCCACCAGCTCTTCATTTGCCATGTGGTCCCTGGACCTCATGGTACCTGATTATCACCGTGCAGGTGTAGCTTGCCAACTAGGCAGTGGCCCCTGCACCTGCCAGTTACCTTACGGGCCTTGCACCCCTGCCATTCCATAGGGGCCCGTGTTCACTCTTGAGGTCACTTTGAAGAAGATTAATAGCCATTGTCAGAGTGCTGCTGTGGAAGAGCAGTTGGCTCTCGTTTACTTGCACGCTGAAATATCGTTCCTGCTCAGGCATTTCAGCAGCGTCATTCAGAGTGAAAACACCCTTATGTCACTCAGGTTTGGGGAAATTAGAGTAGAAGAATCTCACTGTTTAAAACCTGGTAGCCCACAGGTTTCTTAGTAGTTATTGTTTTTTAATAGCTAGAATGCTTTTGTAAAAATGATGCATTTTCATTGTACAAAGGTACAAAGGAGAAAGTAAAAGTCACCTCAGAGTCTTCACAGATACAACTTAACATTTTAGGGCATAGATTTTCAGATCTCTTTCTGTTCATGGGTACTCTGGTTTTGTGATGGAATCATACTCTACATTCGTTTTTTTAACCTGCCTTTTCCACTGTATTTTGGCAGTAAGTAGCCCTATAGTAAGTGCCCTATAGTAAGCACCCTGCAGTAAGCACCCCACAGAAAGCACCCTGCACTAAGCACCTTGCAGAAAGCACCCTGCACTGAGCACCTTGCAGAAAGCACCCTGCACTGAGCACCCTGCAGTAAGCACCCCTGCTGTAAACACCTCTGCAGTTAGCAGCTTACAGAAGCATCCCTGCATATAAAGCTCGGCAGTTAAACACACCTGCAATAAATATGCATTGCCATAGGTTTAAAAAGGGTACAGGTATTAATCTGAGGAATAAAATAGTAGCTCTCCCTTTAAGCCAGATGGAGGGAAAACTGCCAAGGCCCTAGATGCGCAGAGTATTCAGGTCAGGCAGTTGGGATTAAACTCACAATTACTGAGGTCCTGAGGGAATTCTAGAGTTGGGGCCTGGGTCCTGATGATGTCCCTGAGTTAACTGTTCAAGTCTCAGGATGCTAATATGAACACAGTTCTTGGATACCAATTGCTATTCATACGTTCAGATCCATATTCTCAGGTGGTCCCTCTGGATACACCAGACAGTTGTCATAAGTTCTGAGGGGGCTGGAATACTAGGGGATGGGTCTGTTTCTAATGCCATATCCTTTTTTGTTCTGAACAGCATGATGTATATTTAGGAAGGGATGGATGAGGTACTTGGAGGCACAGGTAGAATCTGGGACCAGCCACTGCTTCCTATCCGTTTGTTTCCCTAGAAACTCGAGATGATGAGCCTGCTTGTGGGAGGCCCCTGGGCATCCGGGTGGGGCCCAATGGAACCCTTTTTGTGGCTGATGCGTATAAGGGACTATTTGAAGTAAATCCCTGGAAACGTACGTAACAATGCCTTATTTCCTTCTCTGATGATTTCAGATGTTTTAAACAATATGTGCATAAGTGGATTTAATAGAATTTGTTCAGTACAATCTACTGGAGACTCTAATATTTTCTTATTCATTGAATCGTCCTGGAAGTATTGCCTACATATATCAGCTGTCATGTAACTCATGACCCCATTTGGTCAATCCCCTAATTTCCTGTTTGTGTTTTAGCCACAGGGTCTATTCCTCAAAATGTCAGAACTCCTCTTTCTGTGTTTATTTTCCTGTGTCTCTGTCTTATCTTCCTGTTTGTTCTCTGTCTGTCCCTTTGCTCTGTCTGCTTCCTCCCGCGTTTTTCTCCCAGTATGTGCTTCAGCAGAGGAGTTTGTACGATGCAGGAATCTGTTATCATGGGGGAGGGGGCTGGGGCTCTGGGTGGCCCCCTCTGCTGATGGCTGGCTGTGTGACTGTGCGGGTGCCTTAGCCTCTCTGTGCACAGATTACTCACCCATGAAACCGGGCTAATGGTAGTGCCTGCCTTGTGGGATTGTGGGAGGGTTTAAATGAGATTGTACATGGAGACAGGTTAGTACTCCATAAATGGTTATTCTCCTGTTTTTAAAGTTTACCACTGTCACTGTTCCCATATTTAACACCGGATGAATGGAGCATTTTGTATTTCTCTCAAGCAACCCGAAAGACAGTTGCCTTTCACCTAAGATTCTTGATAGATTTTTAAAAGTCATTTGGTCTTGGTGAAAGGAAGAGGTCCTTATCCTTAGAGGCAGGATTTTGCCGTTAATGAAGTCAGTGTAAAAACATTAATCACCTAACAGCTAAAAGAAAGGAAAACACTGTTTTTTACTGGAAGAGGGAATAAATCTACTAGCGTATGACATGGAGAAGCTCATTTTAGTTTTCCCTTTCAAATCAGGTAGGCTGATGGAGACTTTGAAATTATTGACGTACAAGTTCTTAGAAGGAAAACAGGTCTTCTCTTCCTCCCTCCTTTCCTTCTTTCTTCCATTATTATTTCCTTCTTTCTTTCCTTCTTTGCCCCTTCCTCCTTTCCTCCCTCTCTCCTTTTCTTTCTTCTACCTCAGGTGAAGTGAAACTGCTGATCTCCTCTGAGACACCCATTGAGGGGAGGAAAATGTCCTTTGTGAATGATCTTACAATAACTCAGGATGGGAGGAAGATTTATTTTACGGATTCTAGCAGCAAATGGCAGAGACGAGATTATCTGCTTCTGGTTATGGAGGGAACGGATGATGGGCGGTGAGTGTTCATTTCAGATCTTATGCTCGGTGAGATCATCAGTCAGGCAGGGTGACTTCGGCAGAGCTTATTTGTGGGAGTCATTGGAGTGTTTCTGAGCATAATATTGCAGCTTTTGAGATAGGACTTTCATGATTCTGGAAACGGGTGATGGATGCAACACAACAGAACAAGATGTTCTCACTTTCTCTTTGAAAAAATGAAATGAAATAAAAGAATTGGATAGAGGCCAGTCTATCTGAGCATGTGGTCTAGGCACTCTGGGTGGACACCTCCCAGGCTGGCCTCCGTTTCAGGTCATCCCTCCCAAGGGGGACTCCTTTGAGGCTGGAGCCATGGGGGCCCTCCCTGGTGCTGAGCCAGTTCCCGGCTTGGTGAGAGAACTGAGTGGGGGGTTCTCTGGAAGAGGATGCCTGGGGTCTGCTCTGGATGGGAAGGCCCCCAGGGGCCAGCCTGGAGTCAGGTCTGGATGGAGGACCACCAGGGGCCTTGTCACTGCAGCATGAGGTGGATCCCCTTCTGCAGGCCCCCTGCCTGAGGCTCAGAAGGGAGTGAGGCTCCAATGTGGCAGGGGCCACAGACTCTCCCGTGTGAGCGTTTGCTGTTGGCGTCCCACAGCCTACTAGAGTATGACACGGAGACCAAGGAAGTGAAGGTTTTACTGGACCAGTTGCGGTTCCCTAACGGAGTGCAGCTTTCTCCCGCGGAGGACTTTGTCCTGGTGGCCGAGACGACAATGGCGAGGATAAGAAGGTGTGTGCGGCCCCTGCCGAGCTTTTGGGGGTGCGCCAGAGCTCGCTGTGGCCCAGCCCGGCTTGCTGGGAGATGTCGAGCTACATGATTGGAGATGGGGAAGGGCACCTTCTCCTTTGTGTGATAATGGAAGCAGTAAAATTCAGGGGTGCCTTTTCTTTCTCCTCCATCTCAGCCTGCTGAAAGTTGCGGTCTGGGAGGGTCTTGATTTAATGCTGACCACACATCCTGGGTCCCTTTTCCTCCCGGGGGTGCTGGGCTCCCTGCTACTGCTCCTGGCTGTGCCCCGGGCTGGTGAGGGCCCCTTTCACCATCTGGTGTCTTCCTTTGCGGTGGGCGCATTTACAGTTGTAAATCAGTTGGGATTAGGACCATTTTGGTGCTTGGCTAAAAGTTTTCCTTACATTCGGGGACCTCTGCTCACCACTTGCTTGGGTGAATTTTTCAGATTCTACCTGTCGGGCCTGATGAAGGGAGGGGCTGATCTGTTCGTGGAGAACCTGCCTGGATTTCCAGACAACATCCGACCCAGCAGCTCTGGAGGGTACTGGGTCGGCATGGCAACCATTCGCTCCAACCCTGGGTTTTCTATGTTGGATTTCTTATCTGAGAGACCCTATATTAAAAGAATGATTTTTAAGGTAACTATGAAAACTGTAATTCCAAAAAACAAAATGAAAATGCATCTAATTACGATCGTTTTTGACCTTTGGAGCTCTAAAAATTCTCGTGCTGCTTATAATATTTACTACTTCTAGTGACTTTTTTTTAAGTGTGAGTGAGCAGAGGGGAGGGGCAGAGGGAGAGAGAATCTTAAGCAGACTCCACACTCAGCGTAGAGCCTGACGCAGG